AATGAATGCAACACCATTCCTCTTCAATTTTCATTCCCAGCATAGTAAATCATGTGGTTGTCAGATTCAAAATGCCCAATACCAGTCCATTTCAGCTCAGTAATGCCTAAGATATCGATGTTTATGCTTTCCATTTTATTTTTGACAACTTCCAATTTTCCAAGATTCATACTTTGTACATCCCATTTTCTGATTTTCAGTGGATATTTACAGCTGTTTCTCTTCCTTTTGAGTTGTGCCCCATCAACAAATGCAGGTCCCATGGGCTTTTCTCCCATGGGCTTTACTCCATTCGTGTCATCACAGTCAACTCTACTTTGAGGAGGCAGCTCTTCTCCAGTCGCATTTTGAGTGACTTCCAACCTGAGGGGCTCATTTTCTGGCACTATATCTAACAGTGTTTCTGTGCTATTCATAAGGTTTTCAGTGACTAAATATTCTGAAGTAGTTCTCCATTCTTTCTTCCTAGTCTGTGTTCATCTGGAAGCACATCTGTAACCTGTCTACCATGGCTAACCCTGCTAGAATTTTAAATACCAGTGGCATTGCTTTCAGAATCACAACAACTCACAAGCCACCACAGTATGGCAAACTGACAGACGAGTGGTAACCATTTGTTTTTTTTATTGCTATGCTGGTGCCCTGTAATTTGTCCAAATGCAGGCATTCTTGTTCTGTGGATCAGCAGTTATTGTTAACTGCCATCAAGTCATTTTACCTCGTAGCAACCCTGTAGAGGGTTTCTGAGGATTGGCTGGTGGGCTTGAACCTCAGACTTTGCTGTTAGCAGTCTGATGCTTATCCACTTTGCCACACCAGGACCAAATAGGCATCCAGAAATTTACAGGGTTAGAGCCAAGATGGCTGCATGCTAGGCCTCGGGATCCCAGAGGGAAGAGCAGGTTGTGCAAGGGGAGGGAGTTACTGAGAGAATGCACAAGCTGAGGATGAGGTATGAAGAGTTGATTTACCTTACATGACCAGCCATGCTAATCCCAGCTCACAGTGACCCGTATGTATCAGAGTAAAACTGTGTTTCATAAGGTGCTCAGTGGACGCTATTTTGTAAGTAGATCTCCAGGTCTTTCTTTCAAGGTGTTGCTAGATGGACTTGAATCCCCAACCTTTATTAGCCACCTTAACCATTTACACCACCCAGGAATTCCAATGGAAAGGCATTGTTATTGCTTGTTGCCATCAAGTCAGTTCCAACTAGTGGAGAAATTGTTGCTGTCATTGTTCAGTGCCACCCAGTCACTTCTAACTCATAGCAACCCTGTATAGGGTTTCCAAGGAGTGACTGGTGAGCTTGAACCGCCGACCTTGTGGTTCAAGCCTACGTTGCAGTCCAACACATTAACCCACAATGCTATAAAAGGTGGGAGTCCACAAAGATATAGGCTAAAGCTACCACAAAGGCCCATGCAATCCCCAAAGGGACTGTGTCACTCTTCACTTCAGTTCTTGTATAAAGATTTACACAAGCTAAAAAAATATTTTACCACAACTCAAACTTCCTTGGACGGTCCTGGTTATAATTACATTGTGAATATCTCTGCAGGGCCTCTCCAAAATTCAGCTAAACCTGTTTGTGCAGACACTTGCCATGACAGAGGGTACTTGAAACCCATGAGACAATGACCAATGCCACCAGCGTTATAAGATTATTTTGCCTTTCCTTCTTGTCTCCCTTCCTCCTCTCTCTGACTATGATTGGAGATGGCAGCAGGGGGAAGGCTGAAAAAGTGGAAGAAGAAGAATGAACACCCAGAGCTTACCCCATCATTTCCCAACTGCTGGCCGCCAAGCTAGGGTGTCAAGACTGTGCAGAGGAAAGGGACTCAGCACTTTTTCCTTAGGAAAAAAAAAATTGATTGCTTTTTCAGTGAAGGTTTAAACACAGTTTAGATTGCTACTCAACAAGTTCTACACAAATTGTTCGTGATATTGGTTGCAATCTTCACTTTAAGAATATTGTCAATATTTCCATTCTGGTTGCTCCATTTTCATTAATCTAGTTTCCCTGCCCCCTTACTTTCTTATGTTTGTTTTAAAGTAATTGTTGACCATATAGATGATATTTTAAAGGAGCAGAGTACTTACTGGTGGCATTCTTCATTTTGTGGTTAATCTATTATTTAGCTAAAAAGTGAACTCAGGGGTGAGGGGCTTAGCTTTTAATTGAATAAGAGACTGATGTTTTGATTTGGCTTGAACCATACAATACTGTAGGTGAATGGAGGTGAATGGAGGTGAATGGAAGGCCTTAGGATCTGCCAGAGATGTGGAGAAAGAAAGGAAAGAATTCTTTAACATTTAACAAATATTTACAAAAATCCCCATAACCAGGTCTTGGGTGGGTATTTTTCTAATACATAGAATAAGAACCCCCCCAGACAGATGCCTAGGCTTCCCTGCCAGTCTGAGCAACTGACCATCCTTCTTCCTGCCATTCTTCTATTAAGTTCTGAAAAATGGTAATGCTTTTTGTGAAAGCAGCATCTGACATCACACTGTTATGTTGTTGTGGTCACGAAGCAGTATAATAATCCTTATAATAACCAACGGCTATTGAGCATCTGCTCTGGACACATGTTTTGCACACATTTTCTCATTGTGTCAGTTAAGATGCTTTTGTTACAAGAAATCGGTAATACAAATCAAACTGACATATATAATAAAGGGAATATGGCCTTCTTGTAACTAAAAATGTTCTGAGCTATGATGGCCTCTGGCAGAGTTTGATCAAGGCCTTGGCTCCCCATTTCTCTGCTGTTATCTCAGGTCTGCCCCTTTAAGTGGATCAATTTCATGTTAGCAAATAGGGCAGTAGCAGTACCAGGCTTCCCGGTAATGCGCTGCAATTTTCAGAGGGAAACTTCAGAGGGAACAAGAGAGGTATGTTCTTTCCCAGAAATGTTCTGAAAGTCTCCTGACTTAGGACACTTTGCTAGTTCCTGCCCTGTGCTGCTCGACTTGGGCCTGGGATACCTGAACCATTCTCTGTAGCAGAGAGGTTTGCATTCGTCTATTTGGCCTAGACCAATCAGGGCCCTTTGCTAGAAGGGGTTGATGTTGATTACCCCCACTGAAACATCATAGAATAAGAGTGGATCAATATACCAGAATCAATCACAACATTCTATTTTCATGATATGTTAGGATAACCCAGTATCATTACCATGACACAGTTAAGGAAACGGAGGCTCTAAGTGTCTAAATAAGTCTACTGGGGTTCCCTAGAGACTCAGCTCAACCCCAAATCTATCTGAATCTAGGACTCACTCAGCCCACATATATGCAGTGTTTGCCTGGGGGGAGTAAGACAACAATGTAGTGACATGTGAGTTCTCTGAGTAGTAGTCAAAGACAAGCTCTTTCCTGCCTAGTGGATAGTATCTGTGGCTGCAGGCCTCATGACTGGGCCCCATGACATGAGCTTTCCTAAATAGAAAGAGGCAGGGCTAGGAGGGTGCCTCATGTATTGCTGTGTACAGGGAGGAGGTGGTTCCTCATTGCTTTGGGAATTCTTTGAACTATATGTCCAATGCAGGAAAATCAACCTGTCTCCTCAGCACAGATGCTAAAGTGAGGCAGCTTCACCTTAGCCCATATTAGGTAGAGCAAGGAGATAAGTTCCATGAGGACCACCACGAAGCTCCGCACTCCAGGAAAAGCTAACCATGTTATAGGAGCCCAGAGTGGCTGATGTGCATGGCAGCACCCTCTGTGCCTTCCTGGAAGTATTTAGATTTAAAAAAATAATAATATTAAGAGCCTATTAACTTAAGTAATGTTTACCCTGGGTCTCATACAATATCTAAGTATCTCAGTATGGAAAACCCAAATGGCTTTTTAAAAAAAAATTATTTCTCTTTATTTGCCTGTTTGGAGGCAACATTACTACTTAGTTATATTGCAAATTAAGAAGCTCTGATGGTGAAGTGGTTAAGCACTCAAGTGCTAAACAACAAGTTGGTGGTTAGAACCCACCAACCGCTCTGCAGGAAAAAGATGCGGCAGTGTGCTTCTCTGAAGACTACAGCCTAAGAAACCCTGTGGGGCAGTTACTCTCTGTCCTGTTGGGTTGCTATGAGGCAGAATCAACTCAACAACAGTTTCGTTTGCTATAATACTACTAATTAATCATCAACGACTTCTATGTTGCTGTTACTGTTAAGTCCTGTCTAGTTGGTTCCAACTCATAGCAACCATGTATGGGGTTTCCGAGGAACAGCTGGTGGCTTTGAATTGCTGACCTTGTGGTTAGCAATCCAGCACTTATCTTACAGCGCCACACCAGGACTCCTTATATTGTTGTTGTGGTGGTTAAATGTCATCGAGTGGGTTCCAACTCATAGCAACCCTGTATAGGGTTTCTGAGAAATGGCTGATGAGTTTGAATGGCTGACCTGTGGTTCCTATGTACCTTGCAGTCCAGTGCTTATCCTACAGCACCACAACAGGACTCCTTATGTAGCACATATGAAACAGCACTGTTCATATACTCATATATATAAGAAAAGCAGGCCAGCGAAATGAGCACTGAGATGACTTTTTGGCAGAACTGTTGCTTTGGACTTTGTTGATTCTGCTTCTCCCAATTCAGTGGGGTCCATCATGTGTGTTCTAAAAAGCACATCAGACTAATTAAAAAGAGAAATGGAAATGTTCATTCCTTTCTTCTGTCTTTGAAGTGAGGTCAATAACTTAGAGAGTCCCTGGGTGGTACAAACGGTTAATGCACTTGGATGCTAACCAAAAGGTTGGAAGTTCCAGTCTAAATAACAGGTATCTCAGAAGAAAAGTTTTGGTGATCTACTTCTAAAAACATAGCCTCCCAAACCCCTATGAACACAGTTCTTCTCTGACATACATGGAATCATCATGAGTCAGGTTAGCTCGATGGCACCGGTTTGAAGTGATGTAGCAAGAAGACCCCTGTGACAGAAATTGATACTGGATGTCTATCATGCCAAAACCTTCTTTCTGCTTTTCAGAAATGAACCGGCATCACTATGCTCTGTATGTGCACAACTGCCGCCTCGTCTTCCTCTTGCGGAAGGACTTTGACCAGGCCGACACCTTCCGTCCTGCCGAGTTCCACTGGAAACTGGACCAGGTATGGTGCTCACCTCTTGTGTAGGGTTAACACAGATTGTGAGTCCTTTCACTTGCTGATTTTTATATGGGTCAGCCCTAGGAGAGAACAGTGTCTTAAAATCAGGATGGAAACTGCCCTCCCCACACCTTCACCCCCACCTCCCACAACTCAGAGTGGAGGACTGTCAGAATACCTAGCACTGGAGAGTCCATTTGCTCTGCATTGAGTTCAGGGGAAACTGGTTCTCCTGGATGCCTAGTCCTCATCTATGATCTTCATTGGTTTGTCTCAACATCAGTGTCTCCTCTTTGATGTTCTATCTTTTCTGGGTGACAGTGCCACCTTGGTTTTGGTGACACAAGCTGGACTGAGGACTTTGAAGTTAACAGTGACACAGAGCTGGCCCTGGGTGGTATACATTGTTTTCTGAAGTGGGAAATCTCTGACTCACTCCAGAGCCTCATGACTTTTGATCATAGGAGTCATTGTATTACACTTGTCAGTGACAAATGAAGCGTTTGGTTTGCATCTGAAGCTTTGAGGTGACAATTTCTGAGTGCTGTGCAGTGTTGAGACCATGGAGGTGGCACTAAATGTTCTCGGTGGCTGTGCTTCTGAGAAGACATCGTCCTCAGCATGCCTGGAGTTGGTCTTCATGCAGATTTGTTGGAGAGTTTGGGGGTTTTTTAATGGTTCAAAATTATCAAGAAGGAGAACGGAGGCAGGAAAATGGATAATAGAATGAGTGTTATTTAAGCAGATGAAATGGTGCCCATTCTATGGTCTTTATTGTCTGATTGCCTCAGCATCTTTATCTGCTTCTTCCTGACCCATACATATTCCTTTCTTCCTTGAAAAAACACTGTGTTTACTACCTGCCTCACCTTGTCTAGGGATGGAGTTTTCATAATCCTTTCCCTCTCTCTCCTTATCATCCCATCTCTCTCCATTCTTTCCCTTCACCACCACCAGTTTCCATCTAGTTGGTTCTGACTCATGGTGAGCCCATGCCTTATAGAGTAGAACTGTGCTTCATGGGGCTTCCATGCCTGTGACCTTTCAGATTGCCAGGCCTTTCTTCTGAGGTGCTTCTGGGTGCCAACTTTTCATTTAATAATGTGGTGTAATGATTTTTTTTTTTTCTAGCCTTAGTCTTTGTTGTTAAGTGCCTTTGAGTCATTTCCAATTCATAGCAGCCCTATATAGGGTTTCCGAGGAGTGGCTGGTGAGTTTTAAGCACCAACTTTTTGGTTCAAACAGGCCATTTGGTCATTGCCACACCAGGACTCCTTTTTGTAATTGCCACTCTTTTTCCTGCTAGGTCTAGGTAGGAGAAGTTACAGACAGGATGGTATGAATTGGCTGTGGATGTTAACAAAGTTAACCGTGATTGTAAAAACTTGTAACTCTACATTGAATATAAAATAAGCCAGCTCAAAAGCAGAAGTGGGGATCTCACTACCATCAAAGGAGAAGAGCCAGGAGTGTAGCGTGTCCTTTGGACCCTGAGGTCTCTGTGCAATGACACAGGGACAAAACACCGTGACACCAGAGGAATGACAGAGGAGCAGCAGCAGCAGAACCAAGAGTCAGAGCCCAAGATAGTGTGGTAGGCTTCTCAGCCCACAGAACAATTAAAACTGAGTGACTTTGGGCAGGAGACTTTCTTGCAGAGTGGGATGCCTCCAGGCACCTAATTGGGGGGAATAGGTTTTCAGACCCATCCCCGCAATTCAGACAGGCTATCCTCAGACTGAGGCTTATGGAGGAATGGCATGATCTGCGGGCATTTATCAGCAGTCCTAAAAGAGCTTTGTAACATCAGTGGAGCAGAGACAGACCTGCCTGTGGACATGGCTGAGGAGAGACTGTCATGACTGGAACAGCTATGCCCTGGACATTTCTGACCCTGAAAACTGTTAACTTCCCTAATAAACCCCATAGCTGTGAGGATGGTGTCTGAGTTCTGTGTGGCCATTGCAATGAATTATCAAACCCAGCTGAGTAAAGAGTGCTTTGGGAGGAATAATTCGGCACCACTTTTTTCAGTAGCCAAGTACTTAACCCTTTGCAGCACTCAGGAATTCCCATCCTCTCCCTCTGCTCCCTAAATTTCCACACCCCCAGTGTCACTGCTCTCAGAGAGAATTGCTGTTGGTTTACTCCACAGGGAATGAATTCATGTTGAGATGTGAATTCATGCTGTCCTCTTTCATGCTCACAGAAGTACAGATAAAGGCGAGAGCACCAGGGGATCTCACAATGGTGACATCTCAGGCAGTGTGGCAAGGTCAAGGAGACCAAGCAGATAGAAAGGTTTGGGGAAGCTCAGAAGCAGTTTATTTTCAGTAAATCCTACCTGCTGGATCCCAGAGTTCTGCAAGTAATAACAGCAGCTGGATTGATACATGTTCTTCTGAGTTAGAAATTCTACGTCTTGCAGGAATTGTGAAATCTTGATATTGATTATTTGATTTCCTAGCAAGTACTCAGCTACTTCCTAGAGTGCCATATGGCTTAAATGGTGGTGGTTTTGTGCCATCAAGTCACCTCTAACTCATAGCAACCCTGTATAGCATTTCTGACGCTGTTAATCTTTATGGGGCAGAAAGCCTCATCTTTCTTCCACATATGGTTTATATAGGATGTTTTAAACTATATGATATGAGTGAAAGTGAATTAAAATTAATTACATATTGTGAGTTGTATGTATGTGTGTTTAATAACAGCATTACTACAGTAATTGTGGTAATTATAGTTATTCCGCAGCATTTTTGAAGATGGGGTTGAGAAATATTGATAGAGGCCAATGAAGTCACAGTGTTTGAAATTAAAAATGGTTGAGGAAGGAATTCTGCTTCTACAGATAAAGATACAATGGATCTAGGGATTCTAAACTCTTTTCCCAAGGTGGGGAGGGTAAGGTAGGGCTGAGATCCACTCAGTAGTTTCCAAATTGGCCTAATGCCATTGACTACCATCCCCAGTGTTTGCTCTATGCCAGCTGCACTCCTGTGGGAGGGAACTCACCATCATCTCAGCCATAGTCCTACCCTGTGGATAATGTAAAGCAGGAAACCAAAGTCCAGGAACTGACCTCAGGTCACAGAATAAACCACTCTAGGACCATAGCCCTGCCCTTCCATTTCCATTCCACCAGGCAACTTCTTTAGTGAGCTTGCTAATTTAAACTTTATAAATGTAAATTTATTGAGATATAAATTATCTCTGAAATGTGAGATGATTATAGGCCTGAAGGAAAACCATGAGCTTGTCTTCACTTTGCTCATGTTCTTTGTCTTTCTTCTATTTTAAAAACAAAACAAAACTTAACAAAACCTTTTTGAACCATTGCTTATTGAAGACCAAGGGTCCCCAGGTGGTGCCAATGTTAACATGCTCAGCTGCATTAGAAAGCTTGGAGATTTGAGAGCTCCTCAGAGGCTCCCTGGAAGAAAATCCTAGTTGTCTGCTTCTGGAAAATCAGCCATTGGGAACTCTGTGGAGCACAGTCCTGTTCTGATTGAGTCAGGATGAACCCAGTGGTGACTGGATATGGTGGGAGATTGATGGTCGCACACTACAGCTCACCTGGGTGACTGTCCTCCCTCTGAAGGGAGCCACAGTGGGTAGGCTAGAGGATGCCACCATGAGTGGATGTTCAGATCAAAAAAAGGGAATGATGGACTAAAGAGGCAAAAGAAAGAAGAAGGAAGAGAATAAAGACCAAAGCCAGAGATGTTTTAAAATCACCTGGTGAGTCATTGATCTACTGTTTCATTTTATTGAGCGTTTAAAATTTTTAAGTGTTGCCTTTTACTTTCTGTCTCTGCATCTCAAATTGTTATTCAGCTTTGATGGTGATATCTAATTTCAAAGATCTTACTGGATTTACCACCAATGGCTCCGTAATTGTTAAAGGGTATTAACAAGAAAGGATTCAAGCTGGTCTAATTCACTTTGGTGTTTTCAAACTCCTGGCCCACCTAGGAAATTTCAGAAGCATAATATCTGTTCTAATTAATAGTGGGGAATTTTAGAAACATAATAATCTGTTTCTAATGTCTGGTTCCTCATTTACACTCCATTCAGCAGACATGTTCTGAGAACAAACTCTGGGCCAGGCTCTGTACTGGCTACCAGGGAACAGCGGCTAAAATAGGAGCTTCTGCTCTCCAGAAGTTTCTAGGATTTTTGTTAAGTGCTGTTGAGTTGGTTCTGACTCAAGAGAAACCCTGTGTAGGCTTTCTGAGGATTTTCTGGTGGGTGTGAATCACTGACCTTTTGGTTAGCAATTCAGTGCTTAGTCTTCAGCACCACACCAGAAGTTTCTAGGAGAGTGGGTCAATATATATATAAAATCTGTTTGCAATCCCATGCAGTGGTTGCTGAATTAAAGGCAGGGTACTAAGTAACAGTGGTAGGCAATCATGGGAGGTTACAATGAGGTACTTGGCATATGCTTGGGGATAAAGGTCTGGGAATGGTGTGGGGAAGGATAATTTGGGAAAAGTGGAGGGCTTGGTAGTGTGTAGTTGGGGAAGTATGATGGCGTAGGGTGAGCACCAGGGTCATCTTTGGGGAACTGTAAGTTTTCAGTGTGGCAAGGAATAAAAATGGTATGGAACGGGAAGTCTTTGACAGATGTTAGGAGTTACCATTGGATGATCAGGTTGAAGTTAAATCTCAAATAACTTTTTATAACATGTTATTAAGTTGGTCTTTTATCTGCTGGTTGTAGTGTTGGTGATTATGTGCCATGAAGTTGATTCTGACTCACTGACCCTACATAGGGACTCCAAGGCTGTAAATCTTTATGGGAGAAGAAAACCTCATCTTTCTCCCTCATAGCAGCTGGTAGATTTGAACTGCTGACTCTGTAGCTAGCAGACCAACTCGTAATCCACTATGCTATCAGAACTCCTTTTTTTAATCCCCTGATAGGCCACATTGATTTCGATAGTCAATAAGACTGAGTTTTAGGGATGAGTTGGAAAGAGAGGCCTGGTTACCTGCTT